CTTTCTGTGTGAAAGTAACCACCCGAATCCCCAAGGAAACAGGAAGAAAAGGTCGGCAACAAAATACCTATTAAAATTCTCCACATTTTGGCCGGGCACAGTGGCTCATGCCTGTAATCCCAGCACTTTGGGAGGCCGAGGTGGGGCAGATCACTCGAGGTCAGGAGTTTGAGACCAGCCTGGCCAACATGGTGAAACCCTGTCTCTGCTAAAAATACAAAAATTAGCCGGGTGTGGTAGCACATGCCTGTAATCCCAGTTACTCTACTCAGGAGACTGAGGCAGGAGAATTGCTTGAACTTGGGAGGTGGAGGTTACAATGAGCCAAGATCACGTCACTGCACTCCAGCCTGGGTGACAGAGCAAGATGCCATCTCAAAAAAAAAAAAAAAAAAAAAAAAAAATTCTCCACACGCAAAGAAACTGAAACACAGCCCATACATAGCGCCACTAACTCCCAATCAAATGTGAAACATTTTTAAGTGATGTTTCTCCACATGGGAAAGGCTGGTGGGGAGAGAAAGGGACAGGGCATACTATCACACAAACCAAGCATTTTTCAGGAGGGTGTTCACTGTGAGATGTGCTACAAACTATGAGGGCTCATTGCGGACGTGCAACTGAGGGAGGGATGCTTCTGGTGAATTTTTAAGAGAACAAGCAGTTTATTAAAAAGCCTGCAAAATATTGATCCTGTTGGGGGGGAAAAAGCCTATTATATATGCATGATAAAACAGAGAAAAATAAAAATAGTCAACATTTACCTGGCATTTTCGATGGAACAGACTCTGGTTTATTTCACTGAAGCATCATCAAAGATCCAATGAATTATATTTCTTTCCTTGGGTAGTTAATACCTGAGGAGTTAAACAGCACAGCATGCCAGTGAGGATTCCGTCCTTGTATGTGTCGGTGTGGGTTCGTGTGTGTTTGTGCAATAGCTCATGGTGCACTCAGTTCAACGGAAGAAATACGTCTTCTATGGGGCTGGGCACCATGGCTCACGCCTGTAATCCCAGCACTTTGGGAGGCCGAGGCGGGCGGATCACAAGGTCAAGAGATCGAGATCATCCTGGCTACCACAGTGAAACCCCTTCTCTACTAAAAATTCAGAAAGTAGCCGGGCATGGTGGCGGACACCTGGAGTCCCAGCTACTCGGGAGGCTGAGGCAGGACAATGACATGAACCCAGGAGCGGAGCTTGCAGTGAGCAGAGATTGCACCACTGCACTCCAGCCTGGGCGACAGTGAGACTCCCTCTCAAAAATAAAAATAAAAATAAAAATAAAATAAAAAGAAACATACCTTCTATCATTGATGTCACTCCTCCTCATAAGTTGCCCCTGGTGAACACATACACACACACACACAGTCCCTGGAGTTTACACTCAGCCCTTCACAATCATTTTTCACTTTCTTTAGTATGATTTCATCTTCCCAGTGTCCGTCTCTCCTGAGCTCATTCCCAGGGTAGTGTCCAATATGGAGGAAGCAGGGGTCAAAGGTGATGCTTGGGACAGTCGTTCTGTGCCCTCCTGCTGGCCTTTGGGCTTTGGGTCTGAGCTGAGTGGGGTCTGTGGGGTTTGCTTACTAGATAGTGGGGCTACCCCGCTGATGTCTGTGCCTGATGGCCACGGTCCTTCCTTCCTGCCTCTGCTCCCTCAAGGTCTGGGGACCCGTCTCGTTGACTCAATGTCCACTTAGTCCCAGGGATTCAGGGACATCTGTGAGTATCTGCTGCTGCCCCATCTGGCCCTCTTCTCCCCTCCATGTTGGGCCCCACAGCAGCCCCCTGATGTTCTCCCCCAGGACACTCCTCAGGGGAACTGGGGTGGGGTCATGATCATAGGGTGGGCCTTCCCTCTCTGCCTGGCCGCGCTGCACCTCCAGGTGGGTTAAACGTGGCTTCTCCTCCAGGTGGGCTTGGGGACTGTGGAGCAGGAGGGACATCCCCTCCACACAGCAGTGTCCCCAGACCCATCGCCCTGAGTCCCAACCCCTGCATTGCGCAGGTTGGAGGATCCAGAAGAAAAGATGAGTTGCTACCTCTGCTCTTCTCTCCTCTCCCTGGACCCCTCCTCTTTCCACCAATCCCCACACAAGAACAGTTGGGCGCTTTTGTTTAATTTCCCCTAAACCATGACTGCCCTGCTTTTCACTGCGGCCTCACTGACTGGAATTCCTGCACTTCCTTACACCGGAACAGGTACTGGGGTCCGCTCAGCCCTCCTGTGCTCTGCAGGTGGTAGAAGTCACACATCCTCTCTCTGCTAAGGTCAGGCTGACCAACCTTTGCTGAAGGCCTCATTTACCCCCCTGTTCACCTCAGGGTCCAAGCCAAACAAACAAGACGTGATGGGAAAAAACACTGCACTAAGAGTTGAAAAACAACCAGAGAGAAGACAGAGATACATAGATGCAGAGACACGCACACCAGAGAGAGAGAGAGAGAGCGCGCGCAAGGAGAATGTGTCCCACGTGAAGAACAGAGAAAATCAGTCATCATGTAACAAGAAAGCAAAAATAAAGAGCACAGGTCTAGGAAACAGATCCTGGAAGGAAATTAAACTTGAGCACAAATAGGAAATTAAAACTCAGTACAAATTAAAATTTGAGAGTATGGCAGGGCAGAAACCTCCCAGCTCGGTGAGCTGCAGCCTGTCCTGGGGTTCAGGAACCCCATACGCTGGGCAGCCCCCGCCCCTGAGACCTGGCTGACCTTGGAGAGGTTGCTCCAGTCTCAGTCCATAGTTTCTCCAAGAAAAAGGGGGAAAATAATAAGACATGCTGAGGACAGTGTATACAAGGACTTAATATGTCAATATTTGTATAGAACTAAATTAGCAATTGCCCCATAGAAAGAGCTGGCTGAGCTTTTGTTGAAGTTTTTAAAATTATATCTATCGGCCAGGCACGGTGGCTCACCCCTGTAATCCCAGCACTTTGGGAGGCCAATGCGGGCGGATCACCTGAGGTCAGGAGTTCCAGACCAGCCTGGCCAAGATGATGAAACCCCGTCTCTACTAAAAATACAAAAATTAGCTGGGCGTGGTGACAGGCGCCTGTAGTCCCAGCTACTCGGCAGGCTGAGGCAGGAGAATTGCTTGAACCCTGGAGGCGGAGGTTGCAGTGGGCCGAGATCACACCACTGCCCTCCAGCCTGGGCGACAGAGCAAGACTTCATCTCAAAATAAAAAATTATATGTATCTATATGTATTATGTATTATATGTAAATACATAATATAATTATTTATTTATATTTGTTCATTAAATATATATTTACTTTATATATAATGTGTATTTTATATATGTATTATATATGTATAATTTTTTAACTATCCTTCTTGTAAAGGCCTACAAGTGCCTTTTCTGTTTTTGTTTTCGTTCCGGTTTTCTGGGATTTTTGGATATTCTTCCTTCTCATTGATAGATCATAACAGTCTGTTTTAGAGGGTAGAACGTGATGTTCTGATATTTGTTTACCTGTGCAGTCCTTTCCAGGCAGGGCCACACCAGGAGCCGTGCCCATTTGAGTCTCCACTTCAGGCTTGGCACTGTTTTATTTTGTTTTCTTTTGTTTTGTTACATTTTGTTTTGTTTTTAAAGATAAACACAAATTAACTCAGAGATTCTCTCACCCTCTGGTAACTCACAGAGTAATGTCCTGTTTTAATCTGAGTTGAGGGACCACATGAGACCACACAAGTGGGGCGGAGACGTGGATATGCCTCATCCAGCAGTGGACTCAGGGCTCTCTTGGGACACGTGAGCGTGTGGGCATGCTGTGTGCACATGTGAGTGTATACATGCTTGTGTGTGTGTGTGAAGCTTTGGGTAGGTGAGGTCAGCTCTCTGTCTGCACCCACCCACACGTCCCTCAGACACCTCCCTCATTCATCCCTGAAACACAGGCTCCATCTGAAAACACTGACACCAACTCTGAGTCCTGTGATGAGCAAGTTCAGGAGGTCTTGCGTACGGCATGGTTGGTGAAAACTGTGCTCATTAATTTGATTATGGCGATCATTGTGCAATGTACACGTATATCAAATTATCCCATTGTACACCCGGAATATATGCAATCTTGGTCCACTTAATTTTAAAATGAAAACGCTGACACCTCCTTTGTAAGTCCTGTTTCCCTCACTCAGCTTTGAACAACTGTGAAGGCAGAGACTCGGCCCAAGTGACCTGTGCACCCGGGACCAGGCACCGGGCTGCCAGGTGTGATGTCTTCAGAATTATTTACTGATGCACAGAGTAAAGTATGACCCAGAGAACCGGGCTTAGCGCTCAGCTGTAAATGTATAGCACTGTCTCAAGGTTAGCTCTTCACTTCTAGGAAGATTTTTGGGGTCAGAAGAGCAGATCATTCCAACAAAGTCTCTGGGGTCATTGGAGATTCACAGGAGACACCTAGGACCAGCTGGGGGACTGCATCACTGCTCATCAGATCTGCTGGGTGTTTGTAGCTGGGTCTCTGGAGACAACCTGTGGTTGGGTTTCTGAAAATAGCCAGGTGACTGTAGTTGGGTCTCTGAAAACAGTCAGGTGAATAAAGCTGGGTCTCTAGAAACAGCCAGACAACTGCACCTGGGTCTCTAGAAACAGTCACAACTGTAGCTGTGTCTCTAGAAACAGCCAGACAACTGTAGCTGGAGCTCTAGAGACAGCCAGACAATTGTAGATGGGTCTCTGGAAACAACCAGCTGATTAGAGCTTCGTTTCTAGAAGTAGTCAGGTGTATGTATCTGAGTCTCTGGAATCAATGGCAACACAGTATATCCAAGGAGCTGGTCAACTGTAGAAGGAACCACCTGGTTAAGGAAACTTCTGGAAGCTGGTTAGAAAACTCGTCTCCAGCTCATGTCTCCCGGACAGCTGCCTGACTCGCTTTCCAGATGATGATGAGTCCAAGAGGAAGCCTTCCAAATGGCCACTTCAGGCTTTTCCTAGAGTGACTTTATATCCTCAGGTGTAGAGGTCAGGTGGGCCTGGGGTCAGTGTCTGGCAATGGCTGCATACATGCAGGACTCAGCCATGGGCTTTGTGGACTGTGGAGACACAGCCTGGGCTGTCCTCCGTGTGAGGGTCCAGTGGTCCAGCTGCGCATATGTCACCTCCTGGGGGTCCCCTGCAGCCGGGGCCTGGGAGAGAGAGACCCAGGGTGAGGGAGTGCCTGGTGGAGGGTGAGGTGAGGGGCTGTGGGGCTGGAGGGCTGTGGCGGCCATCTCCATGGGCCCCGAGGACCCTCTCCTGAAATTGCATCCGTGTGAAGAGCCCTCCCACAGGGTATTAGGGTTGGTCTACGTGACAATGAACAAGGCAGAAGGGAAGACTCCTGACTTCCGAGCTGAGGCAAAAGACATCGCGCTTCCACCCCTCCCCGCCACCCATCCTTGGATCCCTCCCTCTGGGGGAATCCGCGGTGTGGAGAGGCCCCTGTGAGAGGAACAGAGGTTTCCTGCCCACAGCCGTGGGAGTGAGCGTCTTGGACGTGGATCCTCCAGCCCACGGGAGCCTTCAGATGCACACAGCCCTGGGCGACCTCTCGACAGCAACCTCAGGACAGGCCATGAGCCAGAACCACCCAGCTGAACCACTCCTGAATTCCTGACCCAAGGAGCTGAGATTTTTTTTAAGCTGCTAAATGTGGGGAACTTGAATAACTAGGAGGAAGGCTCACCGAGGTGTTCGTCTCTCTGTCCTTCTCAGGAAGTCCATTGATTGTGGCCTTCTCAGGAAGTCCATTGACTGTGGCCTTGTCTGGGGGAGAAAATACATGGCCAGTTTTCTGGGAAGGATATCACAAGGCAAATCTGCCTGAGAACCCCCAAATTCAGTTGACATCCTGCACCCAATCTATAATACGACCTTCTAGAATGTTCCCAAAGATTCTTCCCCCCGCCTCCCACATTGCATCTGGATTGGCACCAAGTCCCCACTTCCCCATCCCAGGCCTGTACCTCCTCCTCCCCTTTCACCTTCTGTCCTCTCTAGAACATCAACAGCCAGGTCGTGCCTGAGAGGAAAAATAAAAGTGAACCTCAGGGGCAGCCTGGGGGCAGAGGACTGGGTGGAGGCCCAGGAGTCATTCCCAGGGGCCTCACCTCTGCTGTGGCTTCTGCTCCTCGTCCTTGCTTCTGGGGGGACCTGGGGACAGTCGGGGTATGAATTAAGGAGACCTTCCTAGCCTCTCCTGACAGCTTCCCCAGGTCACTCCACCCTGCCCCTGAGACCTACCCTGCTTCATCTGATTCTGGTGATGGAGGAAAAAGAGGACCAGAAGGAGGAGACAAAAGAGGAAGACCACTGAGACCCCGATGAGAATATAAAGATGCTCAGCACTCAGGCCTTGGGAAGCAGGTGCATCTAAGAAAGACAGAAGCAGGTTTTCAGCAGTGTGCATTTATTGAGCCCTTACTATATATCACACACATGACATGTGCTTGTCATAGACTTACTAATATATGAAAGCTCTCAGGTAAATAGTAGTCCTGCAGCAGGGCATGGTGGCTCACACCTGTAATCTGAGCACTTTGGGAGGCCAAGGCCGGAGGAACACGAGGTCAAGAGATTGAGACCATCCTGGCTGACGTGGTGAAGCCCCACCTCTACTAAAAACATAAAAATTAGCCAGGCGTGGTGGCGCATGCCTGTAATCCCAGCTACTCGGGAGACTGAGGCAGGAGAATTGCTTGAACCCGGGAGGTGGAGGAGGCAGTAAGCTGAGATCACGCCACTACACTCCAACCTGGGCGACAGGGCGAGAGTCTGTCTCAAAAAAAATAATAATAATAATAATCCTGCAGCACAGAGATCGTTAACCCCTTCCTCCGCCACTGGGATCCTGAGTGCTGGGGTCCTCTGCACAGGGACACAGCTGGCCATTAGCAGAGCAGGAATCTGATCAACCCCAAAGCCTGACTTCTTTCTCCTTCCCCAAGAGGCACACACTAGGCTCACCCTCCATGGCCCCCATCACTCACGATCATTGTGACTGTTGTCCAACGGCCTCTGCGTGGGTCCTGTGAGGGAGGAATCAGAAGGAAGAGGAGTTAGAGTCCTGAGCTGGACAGAGAAGGCTCTGAGTCCTCCCACATCCACTGTGGGGATCTCTCTTCACTCCCCACGACCCTAACAGCTCCTTCTAGACCAGCACTGACCAGCAGAGTCTTCTGTGGTGATGGAAACTTTCTATATCTACTGTCCAGTATGAGAGTCACACGTAGCTATTGATATTTAAATTTATCCAAAGTTCAATGGCATGACAAGCCGGCTGCACTGTCTGCATCTGGAGGGCTCAGTGACCCACGTGCCTGACGCCATCCCTACTGGATGGTGCAGATACAGCGCGTTTCCTGGGCGTGAAGCTGTGGTAGACATTGCTGCTCTCTGCCCTCCGCGGATCTAGGAAGAGACCAACCACCCGCAAGAAGAGGAAGGGAGACTTTCCCTCCCTGACCTCCTTCTGGGTTCCCACTAGAGTGCGAGAATCCCCCTGTCTGATTTTATCTGCCCTCGCGTCAGCCCCCTGATGGGGATGTAACCCACCCTCCTGTGGGAAGAATCCAAACCCTGATGTGCTCCTGTTTCCTGAAGCCCTGCAGCTAGCGGGCGAGTGTGTGCGGCGCCGCCCAGGCTCCCTGCGCAGCGCATTGCGGGCCCGCCCGTCATCTCCTCGAACATTCACCCTCCTCTGCACAGTGCACGCCACTACCCAATTCACAGGTGACCAAATGGGGTCCTGCGGGGCTCCCCCAAACCCAGGGTCCGAGCCCACGCGTCCCTCTTCCAGGAACAGCGGTCCCTCCCCTCCCCTGCTGCCGAGGCAGCATCTTCAATATCCTTCCAGAAAGGCAGACATTCTATTTTGGAGTGTCCTTTCCTCTTGCCTCGTCCACGGCCCAAGGTCCAGGACACCACCCGTAATTCTACACCATGACTTCCTGGGTTTGGTCTTCATAACATGTGCCACAATTTAAAATGTGCAATATTACAATTTTTATATTATTTATAGTTATATGTATCATGTGCTATGCAAACATATAAAATATAACAAATATATATTTTAATTATGCAATCTTGGCGTATACATTATAATTTAATGTATATAATGTTAATTGTATGTGATTTATAATTACTTATAATATATGTTACATATATTCACTATAATATATAATGTAAAATGTTTATTACATATAAATATATAATTAAATATAAAATGTTTCTATTATAATTATAAACCATAAATAACAGATTATATATTTATGTTTGTACCTATGTTTATTAATTGTAACACCCGGCCAGGCGCGATGGCTCAAGCCTGTAATCCCAGCACTTTGGGAGGCCGAGACGGGCGGATCACGAGGTCAGGAGATCGAGACCATCCTGGCTAACATGGTGAAACCCCGTCTCTACTAAAAAATACAAAAAAACTGGCCGGGCCAGGTAGCGGGCGCCTGTAGTCCCAGCTACTCGGAGGCTGAGGCAGGAGAATGGCGTGAACCCGGGAGGCGGAGCTTGCAGTGAGCCGAGATCCGGCCACTGCACTCCAGCCTGGGTGACACAGCGAGATTCCGTCTCAAAAAAAAAAAAAAAAATTATAACACCCGCAAGTTATTATACTATATATTGTAAATATAATATCTTTCATATAATATAGTATACATTATAGTGATATGTGGTGATACGTTAACATATTTTATTATATAATTATATGTGGAATATATGATGTGAACATATTTGATGTAATTGAAATGATAGATCTGAACTTCTCCATTGCAAATCATATATTTTTATTTGTATATGCATGTATGGGAATCTGTGCATTTCTATCGCTCATTCTAATTATTTCTCCCCATTGAAGTTCACAAGGTGGAAGGCCATTTCTCCTCATTCACGATGCATCAAATCCGGAGCCTTCAGTGCCTGGCACAGTCCCTGTGAGGACAAAATACTTCCTCAGTATTAATAGCAGCACCCCTCCTTTGAGGTTTTCTAATCAGCACTGATGTCAGCGCTGTGGGTACCTGAACTCAAGTCTCCCCTAAACGATTCTACCGGGACAGCTATTTTACTGCCTATGTTTCACATGAGGAATTTGGGACAAAGGACGTTTGGGTGAGTCACCATCTGGCATAGAGCTGGGAGGTGGCAGAACCACCAGGATTTGAACCATGAACCCAGCAATCTGGTTGCAGGAGGGTCTGTCCTCGTAACCTTTATATGTCACTGCATGAAAGGTGAGAGAGGAGTGAGGGAAGGAGAGGGAGAGAGGGAGAGAAAGAGAGGGTAGATATTCCCGCAGACAGAAAGCCAATAAAAACCAGACACAGGACTTGAACCAGGTCAGCTGGACTCAGGAGCACGTCTCGTCCCGCTCCGGCAGCCCAGGAGCTTCTGAGGGGGTTCGGATGGAGCACAGCATGGCTCCTCCCACCTCCCCATGTGGCTTCAGCCCCTGGTCCCACCTGCCTGAGCTCACAGCCCGAGCCTCACAGGCCGTCATGGGTGACCAAGGACAACCACTCTGGTGATGAGAACACAGGTGGGGAAGGGTCCACGGATGGCTTATGACCCCGTGTCCTCCCCTGGGAGGTTCTGGTCACAGATCACGGGGGAGATGGACAACTTGAGACCCAGGGACTTGGGGCAACTTCACTTCAATCACACAGAGTCCAGGGGCAGAGCCAGGGGCAGCTTCTCTCCCATCACAGAGTCCAGGGCAGAGCCAGATGGAAGGGAAGCCTCATGGCTTCATCCTGGCCACCGTTCACAGGCTACGTCCCCTCCCTGTGGCACCCTCCTCCTCTTACAGGACCTTACTCCACTGTTCAGGCCTCCCCCGGGGATCACAGAGCCAATAGGAGCATCACCGTCCCTCTCCAGGTGTCCCAGGTTGGATGTGAGTTCTAAGTCCCTCCATCAGGTGCAGAGCGGGGTGAATACCCACAAGGGGGCAGCGTGGAGCTCGGGAGAACCTGAAAGTCTGGGGTGGGGCTGCCCGGGTGGGTGGCCCCTGCCCCTGCCCCTGCCCCTTCATAGCCTTGTGACTTTAAGCAAGAAACTTTAGTTTATGTTTTGCATATTAGAGAGGAGGAGGAGTTAGAGAATCAGACTAGTACCTCCCCCGGAGAATGGTGCTTGCATTAAGTGCGTTCCACAGTTCCTGGCATGGAACGAGGTTGCAATCACGGTACCATTGTTGCTATGGTCTCTAGGAGCATTAGCCACCTCCCAGAGCCGGGCGGGTGTCAGTCCCTTCCCGTGGCCTCCCTAGACCTTGACTCCAAGCCCAGGGCCGAGGGCTGGACTCGGAGCTGCATCCCCAGCACAGATCCCTCTGCAATCCCTTCCGGCTGAGGACCCTGCTACTGACCAGCTGAGGAGTCGGGCTCTGTGACGGGGGAGTCCGTGTCTCCAGAGGTTTCTGTAAACAGAGGCAGGAGAAGGATGTAGAACCTGTCCCAACCAACCTGCCCTCCTCCACCCTGAGCCCCCATCCAAAGGCCACATGGCCATCAGGCAATCCCAGACAATGTCCCGAGACTCCTGAGAAAACGGGGCAGGGGACAGGAGGCTGGGGAGAGCCCCACTGCTTGCCCCATTCTCCCTGGGGCTGGTCACTCCCTCTGCTCCTCCCACCACAAGCTCTGCTTGACCTCAGGGGACCTTTGAGGTCCTGGGGGGACATGAAGGTGGGTTGGAGCCTCTCCAGTGGACTTTGACTCCAGGACATCTCGGGTTGAGCACACACAGGGGTGCGTGTGCTCATATACCAAAGGTTTTCCCAAAGCCCTGTCCAGCCCTGACCAGGGGCCATCCCTGGGCCCTGTGCTCTGCCCAATGGGAGATGAACCACACCAGGGGAAGCACATTGCCTGGGGCAGGTTCTGGCTCATTGGAAAGGAATAACAAGTGAGACCATCCACCCTGTGTGAAAAGACACTCATCCCCTTGTAGGGGGGTCGCCCCCTAATCTCTGGGAACCCACTCCCCACCCAGCCAAGCGGAGCCAGCCCTGAGCCCATCGGATGCTGGGGCTGAGTGTCCAGGCCATCCGTGGTGTCCGAAGGAGACCAGGGCTCCAGGGACCTAAGCAGGTGCGAGGGCAGAGGGGAGGTGTGTGCAGAGGGAGAGGGGGAGAGGAGGGCTTGGGGGTCAGGAGGAGGGCAAGGGTGGCCACAGAGAGAGGGCAGCAGCTGGGACAGTGTCCAGGGACCTGTGCTCGAGGGCCGAGCTGAGACTGGGGCAAGCCCAGGTGACATCCTCACCTTTCACCACCAGGTCCAGGTAGTCGCTGTGCTCAGACCATCGGGGGGTCTTATAATAGATGCAGCGATAAAGCCCAGCATTGGCTTCACTTACTGAGTCGATGCGGAATCTGGCCTCGGACTCAAATGGACCAAGTCGAAATACATTATAATTATCTTTATACTCAAATCTATCCTCCCTCTCCAGGCGGAATGCGTAAACGCCAACCGGGCCCCGGCACTGGAGAGTCACAGGCCTCCCCAGGGGGATCACAGTGCCTGGCTCAGCTGAGATGGAGGGTCTGGGCAGGGGCCCTAGGAGGGAAGCAGAGAAGGACCTCAGCGTCTGCCGTAGGAAGTCACCATGCCACACGTGTCATTTTAGTGTCACACATCAGGGATTTTAACAATTTTATAGAGTTGTGCAGCCACGACCACAGCCCAGCCTTAGAACGTTGCCAGGACTCCTGCACCTTCTACGTGCGCAGGAATCCTCATCGGTGCAGAGTTATTTTCCCAGTTGACAATAAGGACCCCGAGACTTGCTCACAACTTGGCCTTGCTCAGGGTCACATGGGAAGTGTCGGAGCAGCCTGGGGCCCCTCATGTCTGCTGCAGAGCCCAGGGCCACTTTCCACAGGGACAGAGGGCGGGAGGAGGCACAGGACGGGGATGACAGGGTCATTCGTGAAGCATAAGGGACAGGGGAGCGAGGGCTCTGGAGATGGCTCGTGCTGGGGCCTGACGGGCACTGTCCGGTCCCCGGGTGGGACTGAGTGTGGGACGGGGGTTGCCAGGCTCCTGTGAGGGTCCGATGGGGTGAAGGTGAAGCCCCCAGCCCTGATCTGCTCACAGCAGATGCCCAGCCCGTGACAGGTCCCCATTGCTAATGCAGGTCTCTGTGGAGACACCACCTCTGGGTTTTCCTCTAGTTTCTCCTTTCTCCTCAGCCGAATTTGCATTTCCTTGTTATTAAAGCTCTTGAAAAACCCCGTTTATCCCAACTGGGCTTGGGGTGGAGGAGGAAGGGCGGGTTTGACGCCCTGGAACAGGAAGGTTGTGTCAAAATCAGCAAAGTCCCTGAGCAGGGCACAGAGCTGGCAGGGCTTCCGTTCGCTCGTCCCGTCTTCACTCATTCTCTGTTCCTGACAGATTAAAACCGCATATACTGAAGGTGTACAACATGGTGCGTTGGTGCAGATATACACTGTGGACTCGCTGAATCCAGCTAATTCATATAACCTTACTTTGCATAGTTAATTTTTGTGGTAGGAACATTTAAAATCTGCCTCTTAGCGATTTGCAAGCATACGATACATTGTGATTAACTCTAGTCCTTATGTTGCACAATCTTGAACTTACTCTCTCTGTCTAGACGAAATTTTCTATCCTTTGACCAGCATCTCCTCAAACCCACCCATTTGTTCATTTTTCTTTCTTTTAACCGTATCTCAGTGACTTATCAATCCATTTAAAGACATTTTTCATGGGCTGCTAATTCCCCAAATGTGAGAAACACACAGAGGGTGCCTGCCCTTTGGAGGTGGACGTCTAGAAGGGAGGACAGATACTGCTCGGAGAATTGTCCAAATCTGCAGCTGCGAACTGCAGTTAAGTTTCCTGTAGGTAAGCGCAGGAATCTAGGGGACAGGTAGGCGGTGGAGCTGACCTCCTCTGCAAAGTCAGGGGAAGCACTCTCTGAGCTGATCGCTGAGGGAGGAGTAGAAACTACCTGAACTGAGCAGACAGGTGACAGCAGGGCACTCAAAGTGGGAAAATCAGCCAGTGAGTGTTCCTCAAAGGATACAAGGTTTCAGTTAGAGAGGAGAAATAAATTCGAGAGGCATCATGTACAGCTCGGTGACTACAGTTAATAACAATGTATTACATTATTGGACATTGCTAATCAAGGTGATTCTAAGCATTCTCACCACATAAAATGATTAACACAGGAGGAATGCCTACGTTCCCCAGCTCGATGTAGCCGTTCCGCGCTGTGTGCAGAGGCCACAACATTACACTGGACATGACAAATACATGCAATTTTCATTGGTCAATTTTAAACTGAATTAATTAATTTTTAAAAATCAGACCAGGCGCCGGGTGTCTCATACCTGTAATCCCAGTACTTTGGGAGGCCAAGACGGGCGGATCACCTGAGATCAGGAGTTCGAGACCAGCCTTATCAACATGGTGAATCCCCGTCTCCACTAAAAATACAAAAACAGCCAGGCATGGTGGCAGGTGCCTGTAATCCCAGCTACCTGGGAGGCTGAGGCAGGAAGAACTGCTTCAACCAGGGAGGCAGAGGTTGCAGTGAGCCAAGACCGAGCCATTGCACTCCAGCCTGGGTAACAAGAATGAAACACCATCTCAAAAAAAAAAAAAAATCAGCATGGGAGACGGCCCAATGTTGAACAGAATAGGGAGTGTTTGAGAAAGTGAAAGAACCTGGAGGAATGTAGAGATGGGTGAGCCCAAAGTCACGGGGACAGGATGTGGCTGGGAAAATGGGCATGTCCAGACCAAAGAGAGGTACACAGGTCTGATTCTATCTGAAGATAAACAGGGGAAGGGCTCTGAGAAAAAAAAATTCATCTTAGAATGAGATATTAAATGAAAAATTTTGAATACAATTTAAAAACTGTGGAAAGTACAGTGGTCATGTCTGTGCTTTCGCAAATCACAACGTGCCTGGGGTCAGGAAGGGAGCGGGCAGCAGTGGCATGGACAGGCTGAGGCTGGCCTCGGGGAGGCATGGAGGGGAGAGGGACCGTCACCGGGGGGAGACACAAGAAAAGTCAGTAAAGAGAGAAGGAAAGATGAGAAAAAGTGAGTGAAATCACCAGGACTGGGTGACATGATACATCTAGGAGGATGGAGAAGAGATGGAATGTTCAGAGTCTGCCCTTTGTGACTGTCACGTTCCCCGCCAAGATGCTGCCGAGTGAAGTGTGGGCGGGTCTGGGGAAAACTGCCGGGCTCAGCCTTGGCCGTGTTGGGTTTGAATTCTCATTGTGGAAATCGGTGTGTGGAGGTGACGCCTGCACTCCCAGGGTGACCACAGAGCTACTCACGGCCGCCAAGACCTGGAAATAACCTGAGTGTCCACAGTCAAATGAGTGGATGAGGAAAATGTGGTGTGTCTATGCAATAGAATATTATTCAGCCCTAAAAAAGGAACGACGTTGTATCATTTGCAACAACATGGATGAACCGGAGGACATTATGCTAAGTGAAATAAGCCAGGCACAGAAAAACAAATACCACATGTGGAATCTAAAAAAGTTCATCTCGGCCGAGCGTGGTGGCTCACACCTGCAATCCCAGCACTTTGTGAGGCCGAGGTGGGTGGATCACCTGAGGTCAGGAGTTCGAGACCAGCCTGGCCAACATAGTGAAACCCCATCTCTACTAAAAACATAAAAATTAGCCAGGCGTGGTGGCAGGCACCTGTAATCCCAGCTACTCGGGAGGCTGGTTCAGAGGCAGGAGAACTACTTGAACTCAAGAGGTGGAAATTGCAGTGAGCCGAGATTGTGCCACTACACTCCAGCCTGGGTGACAGAGTAAGACTCCATCCCAAAACAAACAAAAAAGGTCATTTCACAGAGGTAGAGATTAGAATGATGATATTAGAGGCTGGAGATGGGGGGCTTGGGAAAGACACAGATCAAATGGTACAAAGTTTCAGTTAAACAGGAGGAGTAAGTTTTTGAGATCTATTGCACAGCAGGCTGGCTATAGTTAATAATAACTTATGATATATTTCAAAATTGCTAAAAGTAGATTTTAAATGTTCTCGTCACTATAAGTATGTAATGTGATTGTTATGTTATTTAGCCTTATTTAATCTTTCCACAATGTTTACATACATTGTAACATCACATGGTAACCTACAAACATATACAATTATTTGTCGATTAAAAATAAGATTTTTGGCTGGGTGCAGTGACTCACACCTGTAATCCCAACACTGTGGGAGGCTGAGGCGGGCAGATCATAAGGTCAGGAGTTCGAGACCAGCCTGGCCAATATGGTGAAACCCCATCTCTACTAAAACTACAAAAAAAAAAAAAAAAAAAATTAGCTGGGAGTGGTGGCAGGCACCTGTAATCCCAGCTACACAGGAGGCTGAGGCAGGAGAATCGCTTGAAACTGGGAGGCGGAGGTTGCAGTGAGCCAAGATTGTGCCATTGCATCCTAGTCTGGGTGATGGAGCGAGACTCCATCTCAAAAAAATAAATAAATAAAATAAAATATAAGATTTTTGAAAATAAGAAAAGCGAAATATGACAGGTGGAGAATGAAGGAGTGAAAGGGGTGAGGGGTGTGCATTTTACTTTTGGAAGAGTTTGCAGTCTAAGGTATATTTAAAGGGATCCCTCCAGGCCCTCTAAGCATCAACATCGCTCCCACCCAGAACTGCCCTTGGGGTGCCAGAGGGGACGGGGAAGACGGGACGAAGGTGTGACTTACCCTCCTGCGTGTGGATCGTCTGGGCCAGGCAGAGCACTGGAAGAGAAGCCCCAGTGAGAAAAATGCCACCACCCAGTCTCCCTATGGGGCTGCTACCAAAAGGGGGCTGGATGGAGCTGGGGGGCGTTCAGCATTTCATCATGACCAAACCAACCCTCCTCGACATCACTAGCTCAGTGTAATCCTTCTTGCTGCAAAATGGTTTCAAGGTAAATCCCAAAGTCTCCTCTTCCAAAAAGGCTCCTGCTCCCCCAGCCCTTCTTTTTGGTGGTGTTGTTGGAGACGGAGTTTTCTTCTTGTCACCCAGACTGGAGTGCAGTGGCGCGATCTCAGCTCACTGCAACCTCCACCTCCCAGGTTCAAGCAATTCTCCTGCCTCAGCCTCCCGAGTAGCTGGGATTACAGGCGCCCACCACCACGCCTGGCTAATTTTTGTATTAGTAGAGATGGGGTTTCACCACGTTGGCCAGGCTGGTCTCAAACTCCTGACCTTATGATCCACCCGCCTCAGCCTCCCAAAGTGCTAGGATTACAGGGGTGAGTACCGCGCCCGGCCCCCCAGCCCTTCTTAAAGCTGACCTCATCCCCACACCCAGGCCCCTGTTTTTAGGACAAGGTCTTCTCTGGTCAGACTTAGGCCCCGGGGAGAGCAGCAGGGCAGTCCTGGGGGAGGAGGACACTTTCCTTCCCAGAATCTTCTGCACTGGAGTCAGGCTTGAGCAGTGAACTTTCCAGACCTCCCGACCCCCTTTCCAGCCTCCCCGCTGCCTCCAGGACTTACCTAGGCCCAGGAGGGCGGTGGGGTAGCGATACATGGCCCTGGTCCCAGCAGTCCGGCCTGGCCTGGGGCGCACCAGTGCAAGGACACAAGCCGACAGGATGTGCTGTCCAGGGGCCTCCTGCCTGTGGGGTTTCCACAGCAACTGCCTCACACAAGAGGAAGAGCTTTCCGTTCTGTTCTTTCCGCCCTTCCCAGTAGTGAAATGAGAGGGAAGGCCTTGGCTTCTGAAAAACGCTGCTTACCCGCATGATCAGATGACTCTAAACTAGTTACCTGATGTGTCAGCCTCTTTCTAAATCTACGGGACAAGGCAGAATAAAGGTCGGGCAACCAACTGACTTGGACGTCATTCCAGCTCCACACATTAACGACCACCGCTCCTGGGCAGGGCGTTACAAAACTAGAAGTCGACATTTCCTCGTAGTTAAAACGAGAGTCATAGAAATCCTTCCCCCAAGTTTTTAATATTGTGATCTCTGCTAAAATCCCAGCAAGGTATGTAACGCGTTAAGAAAAATCCTACAGTGAGCCGGGCGCGGTGGCTCACGCCTGTAATCCCAGAACTTTGGGAGGTTGAAACACTGCGCACTCACTCTAGAGAACAGTGGGGAGGCTCCTCAAAAAACTAGACATAGAGCTGCCATATGGTCCACTCAGTCCACTTCTGGGTGTATATTTAAAAGAAACAGGCCAGGCACCATGGTTCATGCCTGTAATCCTGGCACTTCGGGAGGCTGAAAAATTGTGCACTCACTCTAGAGAACAGTGAGGAGGTTCCTCAAAAAACTAAAAATAGAGCTACTGTATGGTCCAGTAATCAATCCCACTTCTGGGTCTACATTTCAAAGAAACAAATTCAGTATGTGAAGAGCCGTCTGAACTCCCCCAATCACTGCAGCACTATTCACAACAGCTGAGACGTGAAAATCATCTAAATGTCCATTGACGGATGAATGGCTGTGGAAAACGTGGTACACACACACAGGGGAATACTACTGAGCCTTAACAAGGGAGACAATTCTGCCATGGGTGACAACACAGACGAACTCTGAGGACATCACGCCAAGCGATGCAGATGCAGAGACCAAGTACTGCACGATGTCACTTACAGGAGGTCTGCAGAGTCACCAGAGTCACATCACAGCAGTCAATGGTGGTTACGGGGGCTGGGAGGAGGGGAAAATGGGGAGTTATTAACAAACAGGACCTAGAGGTCTGCTGTCCGACGTACGACCTATGGTCGACAATAATGTCTTGTTCACTTGAAATTTGTTAAGACGACAGAGCTCATGTTAAATATTCAAACAACGATATATAATAATAAATATTATATATAAATAATTATAATGATTACATATAATCACAATATAATTAATATATTATTATTTAAAATTGTTTATCATTTTATATATAGTCATTACATATATAATTGTTTATATATAATAATATAGCAAACTATAATAGTTTTATATGTAATTGTCAATATATAAACTATTATAATTATTAATTATATATATACAAGTTCATATATAATTGTTAATATATATAAACTATTATAATTATATATATACAATTAACAATTTATGTGCGTGTGTGTGCGTGTGTGTAGATGGAGTCTCACTCTGTTGCCCAGACTGGAGTGCAGTGATGTGATCTTAGCTCACTGCAACCTCCGCCTCCCAGGCTCAAGCAATTCTCTTGCCTCAGTCTCCCGAGTAGCTGGGATTACAGGCACCTGCCACCACGCCTGGCTAATTTTTGTATTTTAGTAGAAATGGGATCTCACCATGTTAGCCAGGCTGGTCTCCAACTCCAGACCTCATGTGATCCACCCGTCTCAGCCTCCCAAAGTGCTGGGATTGCAGGCATGAGCCACTGCGCCCGACCCCTTTAACAATTTTAATTGTTATTATATATATTATGTATAATACACACACACACACACTCTCTCTCTCTCTCTCTACTAAGATGAGTTCTCTTCCCCTCATCCCACAGTGTCGTTTGGCTCCAGGTGGGGGTGGTGGGGGTGAGGTGGTCCAGCAGCACATGCAAAATCCCAAAGGGGTTGAATGGTAAGGAGATGGTGCTTAGAACCTGGCATTACGGTGTGGGGCCAGATGGGCACCCAGCTGGGTGCTGGAATGAGGAGCAGGACCAGGACAAGCAGTGCATTTCGGCATCATGGAGCTAGGGGGACAGCAGCCCGCCCTATCACGGATTCTCATCTCTGCTGCTTCTGAGGACACTGGGGAGCTTGTCTCCAGGTGTAACTGTCGCAGACATTGATGAGGGTCTGCACTGCAGCCATTACTCACTTCTTCCTTAACAACCAAAGCCAGTTCTGTTTGAGTGGTTATGCTCCAAGCCCAGGGAGCAAGTGGGAGGGAAATGGAGTTTAGATTAAGGCGATTTTAGCAATCCCATTTTCAGGGTTTGATTCAGAGCAGGGCATGTGACCAGATATGACCAATAATACTTAAGGCAGAATAGAACAATGTTCCTGGAAATCATATTTATCTCTTAATAACAGAGGGTTTCAAAAAAAAAAAAAAGAAAAGAAAGTTTTTTGCATCAGAATAGTCCAAACATTTCAAAAAAATTGAAACATTCCATCATAATCACTACATTGCAGACTAGTCCTCCTCCTGAGACGCGGTGACTGTAATGATCTCAAGCTGGGATCTCATGGACAGACAGGGGAACTCAAGCTAAACCCTGGTCCTCCAAGAGTTCTACATGATGCAGTCCCGGGTATGTTCTTCCAATCTAATCCAATGTTCTGTGAATATGTTAGACTGAGCCCATAAGACAGCAATCCATCTAAAAAATAACAATAAACCAACTAAAACTGCTTAATATAATATATTAAAGATTTTTTTTAGGCCAGGCACAGTGGCTCACGCCTGTAATCCCAGCACTTTGGGAGGCCGAGGCAGCCAGATCACAAGGTCAGGAGATCAAGACTATCCTGGCTAACACGGTAAAACCCCGTCCCTACTAAAAATACAAAAAAAAAAAAAAAATTAGCCAGGCATGGTAGCAGGCGCCTATTGTCCCAGCTACTCAGGAGGCTGAGGCGGGAGAATGGTGTGAACCCGGGAGGTGGAGCTTGCAGTGAGCCGAGATGGTGCCACTGCACTCCAGCCTGAGCGACAGAGCGAGACTCCGTCCCAAAAAAAAAAAAACAAACAAACAACAACAAAAAAAACTTTTTTTAATGCCTCAAAGATATAAAAACTAAGCAAAGGCTGTGAGGTCAAAAATTAAAGGAAGATGGAATCCCCAGACTCCAGCTGAATACTGAACCTGGTGCTCACCTTGATGATGAGGAATTAACTGAGCTTTATTTTCATGGTTTTGTAAATCATGGGGAGAAGCACAAAGTGCAGGGGTGCACATTCCAAAAGCTTCCAGCTCATCCTAAGAATGATTTCGCCGGACGCGGTGGCTCACGCCTGTAATCCCAGCACTTTGGGAGGCCGAGTGGGCGGATCACGAGGTCAGGAGATCGAGACCATCCTGGCTAACACGGCGAAACCCCATCTCTACTAAAAATACAAAAGAAATTAGCCGGGCGTGGTGGCGGCGCCTGTAGTCCCAGCTACTCGGGAGGTTGAGGCAGGAGAAAGGTGTGAACCCGGGAGGCAGAGCTTGTAGTGAGCTGAGATCGTGCCACTGCACTCCAGCCTGGGCAACAGAGACTCCATCTCAAAAAAAAAAAAAAAAGGAATGATTTCAAATCACTCTCCAACTTCTCGTGGTTGCAAGGAATACTACATTTGTTTTGAAACTTAGCATCGAACCAAGTGGCTCCAGAGAATGACTTTCCTGCTTCTGACTCTTCTTTTACTTGCAGAATGGTTTCTCTGTAGGAGAATCTCCTTCAGCGATTTTTCACTTCAGCGATTTTTAATCAGCTTTATCAAGGAATCCTTGGCAGACAAACTGTCTTCATTGAAGCTGTGCAATTCAGTGAATTCTGACAGCTGTGAAACCACCAACATAGCCAAGAGTTTCCTCACTACTCAGAAGATTCCTCGTGCTAACAACAAAGGTCACGGAATACATGGACAGTTACTCTGGGTTTTTCCATAAAAGGGGTGATACAGAGCTGTCGTTGCTCCATATTCTCAGAGGGCCTCTCCGCCTTTGCATTCCTCTAAGACTTTGATCCCAGCTGGAGAAAGTGTATGTCCAAGGCATGCTACAGATCCAGCAGAGCACAGCTTACTCATTCAAAAATGCCACTTGGACTGGGCACAGTGGCTCACGCCTGTAATCCCAGTACTTTGGGAGGCCAAGATGGGCAGATCACAAGATCAGGAGTTCAAGACCAGCCTGGCCAACATGGTGAAACCCCCTATCTACTAAAAATACAGAAAGTAGCTGGGCGTGGTGTGGCGTAAACCTATAATCTCAGCTACTCAGGATGCTGAGGCAGAAGAGTCGCTTGAACCCAGGAGGCAGAGCTTGTAGTGAGTGGAGATCATGCCCCTGTACTCCAGCCTGGGCAACAGAGCAAGACTCCATCTAAAAAAAAAAAAAGAAAAGAAAAAGAAATAAAAACGTTACTTGTTGTGGAATGCACAGGCATGGAGTAACGATTCTCACACTAGACTCAGATACACACACAATATTTGCAACTTAAATCAAATTAAATACCAATTAAATGTCAAGTGGAAAGACAACAACTACATAAATAAAATGACATAAGATGCAACGTGAAACGTCATTCAAAGAAGAGTTTGCATTAGAATAGTTCAAATATTTCAAAACTGTTCCAGCACGGTCACTGTGTTGCTGAACAATCTTCCTCCTGACGTGTGGTTGCCGTAGTGATCTCAGGCTTGGACCTCGTGGACAGACTGGGGAACTCAAGCTAAACCCTGGTCCTCACAGAGTTCGGCACATTGCAATCCTGTGTCTTTCCTTCCAATCGAATCCAATCTCCAGGACCCCAGTTCCTGAGCAGCCCTGGCTTGGCTCAGCCAAAGGGAAGTGTCTAGAGCATCTGAGTCTAGACTGCCCGGAGGTCTGCACTTCTTGCCGTTTTCAGGAGATTCAACTGCAAAGCCCTCCCCAGGTCATCCACATTGGCTCATGTGTCTGTGCTCCACCCTTCCTGCCTAGGAGAAGCCTGTTGTTCAGCCAAAAAAGCAACCTGAGGGTGAGGTGGTAGCGGGGACTTACCCATGTCTCTCGCCACCTTCGGGCCCGGAGGGAGCCCTGGAAGGAAGACCTCAAGACGATGGTCATCTCCATAGGATTCCTACCCTGCCCCTGGCTTTGTCTTGAATATTAGCCTTGGCGGCCTGGCCTGGGTTCTGATGGTGGATGAACCTGGCTTTCCACGGGCTCCCACCTCCAGCCTGCGCCGTGGAGAGACCAGGTCCTCGGAACCGTATTTTAACCTTGTCCTCCCTTCCCTGCCGGGGTTTACCAAGACATAGCGGGTGTCATAGATGTGAAAATGCTTCTGCTATACCAGAGTCAGGAACTGAGTAAAACAGAAAATGCCCAGGATGTGGGCC